TGAATAAAGAAGGAAAGTGGAAGAGGGTCAGTGCAAAAAGTATCTACGAGCAATTAGAGAAAAGGGTATAAGTGACCTTTTAGAGTATTGTTTTTGCCAAAAAAGGAAACGGGAAGATCATTTGTGGACGGACAAAAAAGGAAAGTGGGAAGATAATTTATGGACGGAGGGAGTATTGTTTTACTGCTGTAGAGTAACATTGATATCCCTTTTGATGACATGAATATCCAAGAAAGATGTTTTTCGTAATCTTGCTAATATTTTGGGACATCCCATTTTTTTTATGAACAAAACAAACACATTTGGTGGTCTTTTGGATCAGGTAGGGAGAGGGTAGAATGATCTCGAAGTGAGTTCATGAAAACTAATTTGAATTATCGGAGATCAATCCCGCCTCGTAGGCACAAAGGGGGTATATATAGAACATAGAAGTTACACGAGACAGGTGTGGCCCTATGAGCTAGCTATGGTGCATACAAGAGTCAAAAGCCTAGAGCTTATGTAGGTGGCCCTCTACCGCTGCTCTTCGTGGGTGTGGGTCAAGCTGAGCTCCCTTCTACCAAGGCTACTCTGGTGCGGGTCGAGCCAATCTCTCATTTACCAAGGGTACCTAGATGCGGTTCAGCTGTCTCTCGACCGTGCCAAGTCAATGTGTTGTTTTATTCCATGCCATCGTAGGCCTAATACTTCTTGAGGAAGTGTTGATATCATTGATTTGCACACAACTCAGTAAACAACCCGAATGTCAACATACCTTATTGCACAATGCACATTGCATCAGCACTCAGTTTTTTGTTGTGTTTCTGCGCGCGCGCGCACACACACACACACATATATTGTTTATAGTTTTTGTGACTGATATAAAACTTCATTCCTCTTCTTTACTCAATTCTCCAACTCCTTTTTATTATTATTATTATTATTATTATTATTGTTATTATTATTATTATTATTATTATTATTATGTGCTGTTATATTTATGGTATAATTTTCTTTTGTCGAGTAATAAGATGATTGAGTATGGTTGTAATTGGTTTAGGGGAAAAAAGTTCTTGTGATTGGAACTACTAGCCAGATTGGTTTCTTGGACTCAATTGGCTTTCTTGATGTCTTCTCAGTCACGCACACCGTTCCAACACTAAATACAGAGGATGCTAAGATGGTACATTGAAATCTTTTTTTTTTCCTCCCATGCTTACTTATTACACACAGGGTTTGATCTCTTTTTTTTTAATGATCATCTTTTAGGTGTTAGAAAAGCTTAACGTGTTCTCTGAGGAGGATATTGATTCTGCTGCTGAGGCCTTAAAGGACGTAAGCTCAGGATTTCTGCTTTCTCTCTATATTTATCTTCTGCTGATTATCACATCTACTTCATCAGGGCTAACACTAATTGACACTAACACTGAACGTGCCTCCTTTTGTCAGTTGCCAATCAAGAAACTGTATATGGTCGTTGAAATGGCTGCTCAGGGTGAGCAGGGGGGTAGCGCGGCCGCCATCTACTCCGGCAAAGAAAAGATCAATATGTCTCATTTCCTTAGTTGCCTTGGAGACATCCAACGATCTCAAGTTTTTGCGTCGTAGCAACTCGTACAACTTTTAATTCTGTAAGCCCACAATCTTTTTTTTCTTCCTCTTGTGGGTTATGAATGAATCTCAGTGTTGGACGTGTTTCCCTTTGTATTAACCCCCCCTTTGTTACTTGACATGGCTATCTATACTTAAAACCATTTTCTCACTTATTCGACAGACTTGTATACCAGTGTTGGTTGGATGTGCTCCATGGTAAAAATATATATATTTGTCAGTTGTAGTATAGAACCACGTCCCCTAAGTAATTCAATCATATTTGAAATGGAAATGCTGGTTTTTCTAGTTTGGAAGAAAGAAAATTTGATTGGAGAGGTTGATCAAACATCTGTATCACTTGGGTAGAAGTGTAGAGGTTTGCGTGCCTCTATTCCTTCCAAAAAGGATGAGCCTCATTTCCGAGAGTTCCCTCAGACTTGGCCGGACAGTCACTGAGAGAAGATCTAGTCCTTCTAGATTTACCCTTGAGTGTGATTGGTGCATTTTTTTGAAGGAATACAAAACTTTCATTACTGCTCAAAAGTGGAAGAACAAAATCTCATTGAGGGAGATTGGTGTATCCATTGATTGTAGTTAATATTAGTTTTGTGTAGTGCTTTTGTAATACCTTAGAAACTGGTCTAAGAGTTATTGCTATTTTAAAAAATATAAAAGTTTTCATTCTTAATCTAAAAATCACAAAAAAGATTGTCTAATTCTCTTTTCTCTATTAATCTATTATCTAAATCCTCCTGTTCTCTAATAGGCTTTTCAAGAAAACAAATACGGTGTAGAACATAAATACTCCGTAATTAGATAATATTCTGATGAAAAATAGTTTGGCCATTTTTTTTTGCTAATTTTAAATCTCATGTAATTATGTGTTCTTAAATTAGGGTGGAATCTATCACGATTTGTTGTACATGAGTATTACTTGTAATTGGAACGATAATGAGTGGGTCACGTTTAGATGCGTTTTTACTTTTCGTGATCTTAATGAATCTCATATCGTTGACAATATTGTTACTTTGCTTTAGCATATTTTGCATGAATGCAATTTAGTTGATAAAATGTTTGCATTTGGTAAAATAATGTGTATAGACTAATTAAAAGAGTTTTGAGTTACAGAAAAGAACTCGCTTTCTTTTAGATTTTTAGCCTTGCTAATTTGATTGATATGATTATTTTTAATAGCGTCCATACCCATCAGTGTGTTATCTTTTCAATCTTATAATCTCAACATCTTAAACGCAGGAGTGAGGAGATGTGGATAAGTTTAGGATGACTTCTTTGTCATCACGAAACATGTTTCCATGAATGAATGAAATTGTTTTTGTTGAAAAATTATTCAACGTGTTAGAGGTTTTTTTCCTGCTACTTTATCTTTCTCATTGCTAGTTTTTATAAACTAGTAACCAATTTTTTATGAGTGTAATAACATTACTACCTGTTTTCGTGAAATTTTGAGTGATCCTTTGTTGCTTCCATATGTTGCCTTAATGAGAGATGAGTCGTGTGAGTATTACTTGTACAAACGTGATATTTACAAAATTATTATTTGTGATACCTATTTCAAAACTAAATGTTTTGAAGTTCTTATGAAGTACTACTATGATTTAGTTTGATGAAAATGATTATTATTTTCAACATTTATTTTTTTTGGAAGACTGACAACTTCAAGATTACTCTATTATTTAAAGCTTCATATATGAATTTCATACTTTGTACGAAAACAATCTGGAGATTTGCTAGAATCAATCTCGTTTTACGTCGAAGCGCAAGGGTGGTTTTAAAAATATCATTGTTAACAACTTATCAAAGAAGAAGACTGCCTCTACGTTTACAAGTACAGCGCCAAGTTTGCACAATGAATTTACGATGTACGAAGACGCCCCATTCGACTATTATACGGTAAAGACAATGTAAAGGAGTTTAACGTGCTCGAGTGATGGAAGCAAAATGAGCACATGTTCCGGATAATGGGAATGCAAGCTAGACATGTGTTGTTGTCTATGCAGGTGTCAACGGTACCCATTGAGTTTAGTTCCAATGGTAACATTTTGGCTGACTTCCTTACTAATTTAAACTTTCAACGTCGAAACACTAGATACACTAGTAAGTAATCGAGATTGGATTTTGGAGAGGTGTCAACGAAAAGAGGCATGATACGACATGGATACGGAGAACTACATGGACGCAACAACCACAGAGGAAGGTTGCACTTTGGACGAATAATGAACTATGGGGTATACCTATTTTATTCTTAATTATTTTACGTAATTTAGTGTTGTGTAGGTGAGCGATTTATAAGTTTTTTTGAAGACTTCTTTATGTTTTTTTACCTCATCATTTTATTGAGCCGTCAGAGCATTAAACGTAGATGTGGCTCGTGCATTTCCCAATCCTCACAATCTTACAAGTAACAACTATATTTTGATAAATACTTTAACCATCCATTATTTTTTCATCAAATTATCAATTTAATAGAAAATGGTTAATGAACCAGACTCAAAACTGGACTGTTCGATTCTTAAACCAAAACCGATGCCGCCGGCCACCAATACCAATGGAGGTTCATGCTCGTGGCAGTACTAGAATTGGCGGTTTTAGAATTGGAACCAGCCCGTCCAGATTTATCATATGGCTAGGGGTGGGCACGAAATCCGTTCCCGTTGGACCGTTCCGAAAAATCCCAAATCCGTTTTGTAAATGTACCGAATAATTGGGACACAACTTTTTTATCCCGAACCCGTTCCGTCCCGTTATCAAATGGGACATGAGCGGGACAACTTAAATTTATACCGATCCGTTCCGTTTGTCCCGTTTTATCTATTTTATCAATATATAATTCTAATTCTATACACTCATTCTTTAATTAATTAAGTTAACTTCAAGTTTCAACCCAAAATTTATTAAATTTATTTGGCCCAATTGATTAACTACCATGATTCTCACTGATCATCTAAATGCTGATTTTTGGTTTTTGCTGGATGGCTACTACCTACTGCCTTTCTTTTTTTGCTGGATGGCTACTGCAATACTACCTACTGCTTTTGTTTTTTTGAATGATAGTAGCTAATTGCTTGGTGTATATGAACACAACTAGTTTTTGGATGTCTTAGGAAGTTAATGACTTTTATCTATGACATTTTGTGACTTTTGGATTGAGTACCCCCCTCTTATATTTGGGATTAGGACAAAGTAGGACGACCTGAATCCGTCCCGGTTTGTTCCGATCCCGAATTTTATGGGACAAACCGGGATAAGATTGTAATCCGAACCGTTTTGGACCGTTTATATGTAACGGGACAAGACCGGAACAACCTAAAATCCGGACGGTCCCTATCCGTGCCCACCCCTACATATGGCCCGTTTCTTATAGTCAAGGTTTTAAGCCCAAAATATAAAACCCTAATTTTTCTGTGGGAACTGAAAGCAAAGGCAGCTACGATACGATACACCTGCACCCTTCCTAGCTCCCTAGTCGAATGTGGAGCTCGTCGCCTCTATCATTCATCTCCGGCCTCAGCAGATGAGCTCATTTCTCGACAAGTTTCAGAGATTGGCTTGGTAGAAGTATAACTCTATCTGTATATGAATTGATGTGGAGTATTTCTTCAACATTCTTCCCGTAATGCATATCTGATTTTGTTGGAGGATTTACTTTAACATCTCCGCTTGAAGACGATCTCGATCCAGCTGCTGAAATCCATGTAGCCGACTCGTACCATCCTTTTAATTTCTATACATCGCTCATTTTACGCATGCGAAAATTCCGATTTCATGTGGAAACTAATTATCAAAACAGTAATTGAAGTTTTGTTGCGTTTCTAATGGTCACTTTTCATGGCTTCTCGTCTTTAGGGGGCACGACGGTGAGAACAATGGTATAGATCGAATGGATCAGGGACAGCCTGTCATCGATGTAGCCCCTCTCCGTTCTGTGCCGTACACTGGTCCTCTTCCAACATCCATCCATGATTCTCCTGTGTTGGGATCTAATGCATCTCCATTCACGACTGATAATGCCGAATCCTCAGCAAATGGCAGCACTCAGCCGGCAATGATTTACTTTAATAGTTTTGCAACTCCAGAAGAGAAGACCAATCTCTTTGAGGCCGCCATGTCTCACACAAAAGCAGGAAGTTTGCTTACTGGAGCTGCTGTAATGGGGAAAGTCGGACCTCCTATAGGTGCCGTTGATATTTTGGAGACTGATACCAAGTATTTGTTTCGTGTCTCGCTCCCTGGCGTTGCAAAAGATGCAGGTATTCTCCCATCTCTTTGTCATTTGCGAGATATTAGTATCCACATATCTGATTTAAAATGGAGTAAGTTTCAATAAAAATTACTCCCTTATTCGCATAAGTGGTGTTGTGTTTTACAGACACAACCTTCTAATTTTTGTAAGCACAATTGGTTCGAAGCTCTGTTTTAGTAAAGGATATCGTATATGATGAAAATTAGTTTCTTTTATTCAGATTAGATTTTTTTTTGTATGAAAATATGTGTATAAAACTAGGACTTTTATTATGGGACGGATGTAGTATTATATATGATTTTTATTTCCATGACATACTTCATAAATTAATATGAGAATTTAGGTAAATTTAGAGTAGTACTCTCTATATCCCGAAATTAGCTTTTAGGTGAAAATGGAATTGAGTTTAATAAAAGTAAAATTGTGTGGTTAAAGTTTGTCAAGAGGAGAGAGAAAGAACTATGAAGCACGAGTGCTTCAAAAAACAGCGCAGGTGCGGTGGTGTGCGTGGGTGTGGCGGTGTGCGTTGGTGCAGCTGGGGTGCGCCTTGGGTGCGGTCGGGTAGTTTTGTACTCCCTCCGTCCCGCCATATTCGTCCACTTTTGACTTTTGGAACTGTTCATCTAAGCACTTTGACTCATCAAATTCTCTCAATGTGTAAGCCTAAATATAATCATGTGTGATCTTGTTTAAATTGTCTTAACATATAGATTATTAATATATAATTTCTATAATTTTTTAATATACAAATTACAAGATAAAATGGATTAAAGAAGTGTATTGGATGGTGTGTAAAAATGAAAGTGGACAAATACCCTGGGACGGAGGTAGTATCATTTTTTAAAACTTGCGTGCAACTGAGTAGTTTTGAGACATTTTATCATTTTACGTGGTTTGCAGTTATTTTTAATGGTGATTTGAGACTTGTATTATGTTTCCTATCTATTTTGTAGAATGTTATGCGTTTGAGTTATTTAAGATTAGGATGATTGTTAAATTTTGTGAATATTTTGAACATATATACATATATCTTACAAATAAATGAATAATATAAATGAAAATGTATAAATAAATTTGTTGCACCCGCACCTTGTTTTTTTGAAAATTTCTGCCCCCGTGCACCAGTCGTACGCCCACACCGATCAAGGCACGTGCACCTGTGCTTCATAGAAGTACCATATATTTCTATCCTTTAAACAAATGAGAAGATTACTTTGGGACGTCAAATAAGTTAGTGAAAAGATGTTTTTGAGTCGGGGTTATCTTGGAAACAGCCTCCCGACTTTCGAGTAGGGGTAAGGCATGCGTAAACATGCCCTCCCCAGACCCTACTCTTGTGGGATTCAAAACCGCTTCTTGTTGTATAACTTGTATTCCCTCCGTTCGATAACAGGTTCCACAATGGACCAACATGGTTGTGGTTATTTGTTTATAAGAGAGATGTAATTATGGGTTGAAATTGATGGAAAGGAGTAAAACGATATGACCCACCAAAAGTTTCCCTTTAAAGAGAAGTTAAACCTTATTTTGAGACTAACAGAAAAAAGTGGAACCTTATACCTTATTACTCAGGATTTATGAGTCATTGAAATATTTAAAATACTTGAATAATTAAAATACTTATTTCAATATTTTAAGTATTCTTATATTTGCAAATAAGCTTGAGTATATTTTATACTTTGATCTTTGAAAAGTGCAATGTTGGGCTTGGTATTTGGCCTTTATGCTGTTCTCTCACAGAACAACCAAACATCTCAAAACTCAACCTTGAACTGTGGTTGTGGCTTCTTCAAACCCGACTTCAAAAACCATCTAAGCTTTTGATTATTGGCAGAATTTTTTCTTTAATATATAAATGTTGATGCTTAATTATATTAAAAAAACATTCATAAATTTTGTCAGTCAGTAGTGATTAGTGAAAAAGTGCTACAACATTAAATTGAATTGTAAAAGCAATTGGTTCATAATACAACAACCCAGTTGAAATACACGAGAATAGCGTCCAGAGGAGGTGTGTCCTTACCCCTACTCTAAAGTAGGGAGGCTGTTTGAAAGAGACTCTCAACTCAAGTAACACAGATAGCACAAGTTGACAGATTATACGTAAAGCAGAGAATGCACATAGCACAAAAAATGAAGAACTAAATATTAACGGAGTGAAACCACAACAAGCACAAAGCACCAAACAGATAATGCACACATCAACAAGTGCAAAAACAACCACCAAACCGAAATTGTTTACCCAACGTTCTTATCTAGAGTCATATCCTTGACAAGGGCCAAAAGTCCTAGGTCGTAGGTTCTGTCTTATCACCTCCTTCCAATTCTTCCTAGGTCTACCCATTCCCCTATTCCCACCCACCACCGTAATCCTCTCACATCTCTGCCGCTTCACATGTCCGAGCGACCTCGACCTAGCTTCCTGCAGCTTATCCTACCCATCTCAGATAAGTTATTAATATATTCATAATGTGGGGGGCCTTGTAGGCTAGTCTCGGAATTTGTGTTTGCCGCCTTAATGGGATGGTGCTTTCTGACATACCATACCCACCGTGAGATCCCAGATGTATCTCTTTTGCGCAATAGTGGCAAGTAGCTGGATCATTGCTTTCTTAAAATGATAAATAAAAAGATCAAATTTTAGTGCCCCAGCCTTTTTTACGTGTAAAGCATATGAATAATGAATATTGAATAATATGGAGATTAAAAGAGAATAAGTGTTTTCAGATCTTAGTATTGGGAGAAGAAAGTGTAAAATTGAGTCAAAAGGTTTTGAACTGGTTTTTTTGGGGGATATCTAACACACATTGAGGTACGTAAAGACTTGAACTGCTTGAGACCTTTAAATTACCTAGTATCTTCATGCAACTTGACACCTTTAGGCTGCTTGGCTCCTTGTTTACTCAAAAAATGTGTAGAGATAAAATCTATATTCTTTCTAGATTTTGACAGTATTTTCAATGTCCACGAGGCATACCAAACCACACAGATTTCTTAGGCAATATAGACCTAATTTCTTTCAAATTGTTTGTAACTTTTTTTTGGGGTGCATATTTTTGGCTGCAATGGATTATTGTTATTGTTGTTATGCATTTTTATGCTTTATTGCAACAGAAAACTTTCACTGTAACATTGAACCTGATGGGAGGGTAGATATAAGGGGTGTTACATTGACTGGAGTGCGAGCCATCTACAAACATAACATGGTGTTTAAGATGAACGCTTCAAACCTATGCCCACCTGGAAAGTTCACCATTTCATTTCAGCTTCCTGGGCCCACTGGAAATCAATTGACAACGTCATTCGGATCTGATGGAATTTTAGAAGCAACTGTGGAGAAAAAACAACATAACAATTCTTGATTGAGGCAAACTTGTCCTTCGGATTGAAAACCTTTTCCGTAGGTATGGTTGCTTGTAAAATAATGTTTCATATGCTGATATGCTTTATAGTTGCTCTTACCATTGGGTCACGGAATCACTATTTCTTTCTTTCTTGCTTTGAATTTGTACATTAAGTGATAGTTCACTTTTGGTTATAATGTTCTATTTACTAATTTAGATAGATTTTAAGTCATTATCATATGCATAATTTATTGTTATAATAGTGTGAATTATTAGTAGCATTCTCTCAATTTTTTATTTTTAACATTGTTAAGTATTAAAACAAAAACACATTAATCTGTTGGGATTTTTTTAATCCAATCCATTATCGTTCGTCATTCACTGCATTAAAATCTCATTGCATCTAAGTTAAGGATATAGGCGAAGTGAGCCAAGCATACACAAATGTCAATGATTAGTGATGCTAAACATTATTAGTGTGTGTTTCTTTCCTGGATTATTGATAATGCAGAGTTTGGTAGCATTTTGCATTTTTTTCTTCTGAAAACTAGCTTTGTTTTGTTGTGTTTTCAGCTTCAGCAATTAGGAAGTGAAGGTTTGGTGTTAGATCTTGGAGAGAAAAGCTGTTTGTGTGCTGTCTTTCTTCCTAGTATGATTCTATTGACCTTCCTTAACATGTTTGTAACAATATGTTTGTAACGTTAATGGCCGCGATGCTGCTAGGTTATTGATTTGAAGGATGTTATTCACATTGTTGTAGGAACCAATGTAGATTATCGGGAACATATTAGTTCTTACGTTAACAATTGATTTTTGTTTATGTTGTGAGAATCATCTCCAACACTTCTTCTAAGTGCTACCTCTCTTTCGTGTTCTTTTTAGTTTATTATTGAGGCTCTTGAGGTTACAAAGTACTCATCTTAAAGCGTAATGCACATACAATTATACCACTTCATTGTTCACTTGCTACTCAAATGGAGCAAATTTCCCTTATTGCACACAAGGTGCTATAAAAGGACAGTTAGTCCAGTTAGTTCCTAGTGTTAAAGACAAAGCCCCAAGAAACTTTGCAAGGTTAATTCATCAACCATATTGTACTTATTCCTTGACACTTTAAAGGATGAAAGAAATTTTTAGTGTGTTTGGATTGAGGGAAGTTGGTGGAAGGGGAGGTGAATTAAAAGAGATGAGGGAATTTTTCTTTGTTTTGGGAGTAAATGAGGGGCAAGGGATTTGAAGGGATGACATCCATTTATTCAAATCTTTTATTTCCAATCCCTCTCATTTGGGGTAAAATGGAGGGAAGAGAAAGTGATCCCTTCATAAAATTTTTAAAGATCATCCTCTCTTACCTTTTGTATTGCTCCCTCCGTCCCAATTTATATTACCTGTTTTGGTTTACAATGTTTGATTGAAATTATTTTCAAATCATTTTATATGATAAACAGTTTATAATTAAAAAATAAAAATTACATATTAAAATATTATATTAAAAGATCTTACAAAACTAGTGGTGACATGATTATTTTATTTTATCAAATGATTAACGAAAAAGGGAAAGAAAGTGAATTAAGTTTGATCCTATGAATTGTAAATATATCATTTAATTTGAGACGGATGGAGACTAGATTCTGTGCTCATCCGAAGAGACAAAAGATTATCTTAATATTATATATCTATATGTTGGAAAAATGAACATATATGAAATTAATTACCAAACACTTCAAATTCAAAGCTATTCTTCCCATGCTATTTCACTTACAAAATATTTTACCTTTTTTGGCTAATGAATTATGAATGTTTTAAATGCATTCTACACAGTATTACATTAATAAGCTTGTGCCTCCACCTTCTTTTCTCTAATTAAAACCCCCCAAGTATTTTTTTTTGTTTTCTTTGCATCATAAAATGATTGAAAGAGTCATTTTGCACACCAAGAATAAAGTACCCATTGTTTTGAAATATGAAGTTGGGAAAAAAATGTACTCATCTCGCCAAAATTAAATTGCCTATTTACTATTCACAATGTCAAACTTCATCTACTTTTTATTATTTTAATTAGTCATTTAATAAAATTATATAATCTTGTCATCACTAGTTTTATAAATTTTTTGATGTTTTTTTAAATATGTAATATTTATTTTATAATTCTATACCTTTTTTCATATAAAATGACTTGAAAATAACTTTAATAAAACATCGTAAACCAAAATAGGTGATTTAAATTGGAACGGAGGGAGTAACAAATATGAAATTCTAGCAATATATATGTGGATAATGCCTCAGAGTTTATAAATAAAAAAAGTAAAATGCAAAATGAAATAATGCGGATCTGGCAATGTGGTTGCAATGGAAACTTGTATTTATAATGTGCAAAATAGTTGGGATGTGCAATAGAGAGTACTTTGCATGGAAATTTAAAGATTTGAACATCTTGTTAAAGCTATTAATTATTTAATGTGCCGGCCTATATAGATATTTATTAGTTCTAGCTGTAAAAAGCAAAGTCTAGTCACCTAAACACATCCTTATGCCAAAGTCATAATTCTTCACACTCTTCCATGAAGATGCCCGTGTATTTAATCCATTCTCGATGATACCTATAATCCAATATTCTAATACCTTTCTCACCCATGAAAGGACGGAGTACATAACTTAGCTGGTTACACTAAAATCACAATGTTAGTATGATACCAAGGGAGCATTTCCAGAGAAAAAACATTAGTGTATATATAACTTACAATTCAACCGTGAAGCCTAACCCTTCATACAAATATAAGATTTATTAGGTTCTATGACTTATCAAATTGAAGTGTCTATTAAATACTCAAAAATTTTTTGAAAATAGATCATTTCAATTCAATTTTAAAATATATCTCTCATATTTTGCGAATAAAGATTATGTTTTATTCGTATTTTTAAGTATTTTTTCTTGATTTGTACTCCCACTACTCAAAATTAATCTCCTCGTATTTTTTTCCCTATACTTTAAAAAAATGTGAGAGAAAAGAAAATTAGTAGAAATCACTTATTTTATTTAGGAATGAAAAAATTATTTGACACAAAAAAAAAAGACAACAAAATTGGAAGATTAATTTGATAGGAAGGCAGTACTCCGTGTTGAGAGTTGCGACTTCAGAACTTCCCTGATTTGTTCAGTCTTCCGTCTGGATGAGAGCAGAGGAGATACCGATATTAGTGCGGTAGTTCTTCCCTTTTGAAAGAATTTCTTGACAGATACACCATGGCTGAAGAGGAAAGAGTCTCAAACGAGCTAGTAGTATCCGACCCGAATCCCTGCCCCATTTGCCTCGGACCTGTGATCGAGGAATCATACTTGGATCAATGCTTCCGTACGTATCATCTCCGTTCTCTCATGCGACGTATTATCTACAGTCTCGTACGCACAAATACGGATATTAATACTCCCTATATGTTAACCAAAAATTCTTGATCCTGCTTAATTCTGTGCTCGCCAGTAAATTTTACACTTTGATTAATTCTGCTCGACTATACCCTAATTGTATCAGTCCCAACTAATAAGGTTGCGTGAATGTTTTATGCGTTGAGACTTCTAAACGCATCAGTTTAAAAGTAGAATTAGTTTATGGTAAATGGAAGCATTTTATCATTACAAACAAATATATTTCATACCGATTTCCTTCCTGATTTTTCTACGGGTTTTGGCGATCCTTCCTAATAGCTTTGTTAGAAAGTATGGATTTTCCATACAGATACTTCCTAAAATTGTTCTACAGATTTTCTGTTAGGCGGAACCATTGAAGTATGTTCGTTAGGTGGATTCATTTAGAAATATGTCAAATTAAGTTGAGGAACTGATAAATTGTTTGCTGATTAGGTTTATTAGCATTTTATGTTTTAATTTATAATGTATACTTGTGTATATTTATTAATAACTTTTACCCTCCCCCACCCTCCATATAAATTTTCTAGGTATGCCAGTGCTTACATACAGGTGTTGAACTCTAATACTCCGTATCTACAACCCTCCGAACACCCTATGCCAATCCTAAACCATGCAAGTGGTGACTTGTGCACTTGAACTGAATTATCTTGGTCATTTGCCTGGATTATTATATTGACATGTAGAAAAAGACTTTATCCCGTCAAGGGCATAACGAGCCAAGTTTTGTATTTGTCGTCCACTCGCCTGTTAAATTTGTATCTTGCATCATTTCTACTTGGAAATATTTTCCGGGGTACCTGTTTTTTTATTTGCCGGTTGATGGAAGTGATTAACTGAATGGCCGGATTTTAAAATGTGATAATAAGAGCAATAGTGTGATACATCAGTTTGTAGTGTGAGTATATTGATGTTTTGCAGATAAGTTTTGCTACAACTGCATTCAGCGTTGGACAAATGTGGCTGCTAGCAAGCACTCTTTTCGGCCTGCTTCGGTAAAGTGCCCTATATGTAAGGTCTGGATCTGCTTAACTGTTTAATTTTTTTGTTGAGTATAGCTTTGCAATTTCCTAGATGGACCTAGTTTTTTGATCAACAAGGAGGGGGAGACCCCGAGCTAGTAGCCTCGAGAAGTGGTGGTAGCGTGTCGCGTAGTAGTGACCCTCATCATATCATCACATCAGTACTCAAGGTTTCCAAATCTGCAGTAGGGACCTCAAACGTTCTCCATGATATGTCTTGAAAAGCCCCAAGGTTAGCAAGACGATCCGCAACCTTATTTTGTTCACGAAAGATGGCTCAAAAGCTGATTTTATGGAATCTGTCAGTCCATTTTTTTATCGCTATATTGGTATCGCTGATTGGTCCCCTCAGACTCGTCGATGTTGTAATCCAATTGACAACTTCCCTAGCGTCACACTGCACCTCAAGATCCCTCTCTCCTCTCCCCCAAGCCCATTGGATGCCTTTCTCAATGGCTTTAGCCTCGATTTCCTCGATGTTATATGGTCTAGTTCTGTAGGAAAAACCACCAAGCCATTCTCCTCTATTGTTGCGAATGACTCCGCCGCACCCCACCCTGTTAGCCATAACTTTATTGCTTCCATCAACATTAAGAGTGAATTCATGATCAACTGCCGGATTCCATTTTAGTAGAGGATCCCTTGTATTCATCAAAGAGGGGGTTGATACCTGATTTTTGTCGAATGCCCTTTCAATCTCAGCGATTGATCCCTTAATCCAAGCCACTTTATACTGGGTGTCAAGATCATCCCCACCGAAGGCNCTTTCTTTCTCCTTAAATTGTCGCCAACCCATCTCCTCATTTCCGTGTGATCTCCATTACAACCCATACCTCCATTGTCAACAAAATTCCAAATTTGTCTTGCTTTTGGGCAAGTTTTAAAGATGTGAGAGGTGGTCTCATCGTTGCCGCAAAGTGGGCAAGAGCTATCCGAAGTGAGTCTTCTTTTCTTTTGCTCGGCATTTCCCATCACCTTCTCAGCAGATAGTCCACAAAAGAAGCTTCATCTTACTTGGCACTTTAATCTTCCAAATCATAGACCACACTTCTTCCTGCACATTGTTAGGAGATGAGTTATAGTTTTTTTTTAACAGTGTACTATATTTCTAAGGTTCAGTTATTCTTAAGATTCTGGAACTGTATTAAACATGGGTATCTAATTTCTGTTTTGCAAGCTTATGAGCTTCAAATGGTTTCCTATTCCCGCACATGGCTGTAGGATAACGTAACATGCCCAACAACCCCTCTGGACAAAATTCTCTTCTACTTTCTGCCTTTCTATTTGAACTTCACTTGAATATCACATCTTCTATTCTGATTTCATTATTATCCATTTGTAATAGGAGTATGTGCAATGTTGCATGGTACTGATTTTGAAATTGCTGTGAGATTAACAGTCTTGTTGCTAATATGCAGACACAAAATTTTTCAATCGTACATGGATATGATGGATTTTCTTTTCAAAGGTATTATCTTGGTCAGGATCGTGGGAACAGGTAATAAGGTCTTCTCTATTTCCCGTTAAATGAGTTTTTATTTTTTATCTTCTGCGTTTTGTGCTTGGGGTACGATGGAATACAGAAAAATGGCTCTTTAAATTGTATGTGCTTCTTTTAGTGAAGTAGCAATTAATCAATGCAACTCTTGATGCTCATCATGGGTCATCTGAAACAGCCGCTCCTTGTTTTAAACATGGGGGCCAAGGTGCGTACTGCGTACATCCGAGCCCACCTTACCCCGCATTGAGCGGGAGCCTTTGAGGCACTGGGGAAATGCTGTTGTTCTTTTTTGTTGTTCGAAAATTGTATCTGTGTTTTTTGGGAAGTACAACTCGATACACCCTTGGGGCCGAGGCGAGTTAACCACAGTGATAGCTAAACCCAACTAAACCCTTTATTTTTTTAAGCCCAAATGATATCTCTTTAAAAATCCCTTCCCCTTTCTTCCTCTGGGGATTGATCTCAGGTGTGCCTGTGAACTCCCAATTTGGCATCTCACTCCATGTGTTTGATTTCCCTTTGGCATGAGATCAGAGCATTTTTCACAAGATCTCACAAGTACAGATTACAATGCTATTACACTGAATCAGGTATGTATCACTGCTTGTAATTTGTTACTCCTTCCGTCCCAAAAAAAGAGCATGCTTTTAAATGTCAACTTTTGTTTTTAAGTAAAATTCCTGCAAGCTAAGCGGTATTAGTTTGTTATGGATGATGTGATCTTCTCTTCACACCCTGTTCTTTTTTTTTCTTTTTTTGCTTATTATGTATTCAGATCATTCAAAAACACTTAGACCAATGTAGACACATTTAGACGGGACTAGCAAGATTCAAATCAAAACTTTCAGACTAAGCTAGAAGGATTTAGATAAACTTCAGATAGGGATGGCAATTCAACCCGAACCCGAGCTTAACCGACCCGACCGACTACTAAAATATCCGAACCCGAACCGGAAATAAACTAATCCGAACCCGACCCAAAATTTTTTACCCGAACCCGACATCGGGTCGGGTCGGGTGTGGATTTATAATTTTGCCCGACCCGAACCCGCACCCGACCCGACTAAAAACCGAATATTTTATTACAAAAAAGTCTATCTATGGATGTAATGAGCACTCCGTATAATCTCTTGACAAAGTGCTACTATATCAAATAAAAAAGGAGACATAAAAAAAGAGACACAAAAGAATTAGATTTAATTTTTTCAAAATTATTGGGGTACGTCGAATTGATTATTGGTTAAAAGTCGGGTTCGGGTCGGGTTCGGGTTTCGGGTTGAAATGTCGGGTTCGGGTCGGATCGGATTTTTTGCTTTAAAGGTCGGGTTCGGGTTTCGGTTTTAAAAGTCGGGTCGTGTTCGGGTATAGTACTATCCGACCCGAACCCGACCCGTTGCCATCCCTAACTTCAGACATGATAAAAAACATCTGGAGCATACCCAGATCAGATGACAAAGATTCAAAGCAAACTAGAAACATTCATCTGATCACATTTTTCTCAAGTGAAGAGACGTTCTAAGTGAAAATCCATAACTTCTGCACTTTTTAATTGAACTAACTGAAAACAAAATGTTGTACTTTCTTCAAACCAAGCTCATTTTTTGGTAGGAGGGAGTAGAACACAATCTGTTCCCATTTATTTATTCCTAACCCAGATTCACATCTATCTTATATGAATTATGTGTTGCACAGGTGCTTTAGCGGACAAATTGAAGGTAATGCAATATTGGAAGTTGCACAAGTATCGCCAACCTGCTCTTCAGCTTTACAATTGGCTGACAAGAGAAGTCCAAGCATTAACACAGGTCATTATTTTTAAACCTCTATCTAATCCACGTTTTTAATTTGTTGTCTTTTATTGCTTATGTGATTTCATCTCCATATTTACTCTACACACTGCCTGATCCTGTGAATCAATCTATCATGCACACTATTGGAAGTGCAGATCAAAATTTCTCTCAGCTATTTAAGGTCACACACTCACATCATGCTTTCCTAATTCATTGAAGAGACATAGCCACACTTCAAATTGAAAGAATTATTTGGGACATGTGAAATGAAAAGACAAAATACGGGGAAAAGAAATGGACAACCAAATAATTCATATTTTGGAGTTGACTAGATTATGAAATATGAAGTGTTAATATGTGATGTTGCTAGCTGCCTATATCCCGATTGGTATTCATTATGTATTTACCAAAAGGACAAACTCTGGCACTTCAGTACTTCCTACCTCTAGATTACACTACTACGGCATGCATTATCTTATGGGCCTACAAGAGTGCATTGTATTCATGATATGCATCTGCCCTCATCATTTATTAGTTTCTACATTATTTTCATTGACCAACTTCTATTTTTTAAATATAGTGAAGTGTGTGTTGTGAATTAATGAATTAGAGAGAAATATTTGAGACACATTCTTTTCATAAATAGGAAAGGAGAGAAGTGTGACCCTCATTTTGGGACGAATGAAAAAGAACAGTGTGAATTTAAATTAGGGACAGATGAAGTTATAATTAAATATTCCAAGTTAGTGGGAGGTTATAGAGTAAGTGGGTTGAGTTATTTAATTTAGGTACGGATGAAAATGAAAAGTGTGAATGTAATTTAAGGATGGATTAAGTAATAATTAAATAATCCGAATTAGTGGGAGCTAATAGAGTAAGTGGATTTAGTTATTCCACTTAAGTTAGTGGGAGGCTATAAAGTCCATTCAATTATTCCACAAGTGGGAGGTTATAGAGTAAGTTGTTGCTAGTAATGAAAAGTTGAGTTCTATAAATATGAGCCATGCTACAAACCCACCAAGGTTGACACCATTAGTGTCGCAGACTAAATTTCTCACCGACAATTACTATACGGGCAAAAAATAACCTATGGTGTCATACTTGATGGGTTTCTAGCATTTTTATATAATATACCTCGGGTCACATGGAATGGAGTATTGGAAAACTCCCCAGTCAAACCTCCTAGAAGATAATTCTGTTATAAGGGCTTCTATTAGTTTTTTTTTTCTTATTTCTTATTTTCTATATCTTGTATTCTGTTACACTGAAACTGATTTCTTTTCATAACGAAATAGGTTCTATTGGTAAATGGCACTCCTTCCGCCCCATATTAAGGTACTATAGAAATGAGAAAACAGATTATGAAAGTAAAAGAGGGTGATGAAGATTTAGTTGGAATGGTAATGGACTACCGCCTACTTAATTGTTTCCAGAAAAGCAATATGAAGTTTGTGAACTTTATTTTGAGGCACCCAAACATTAATTTGGGACGGAGGGAGTACCTTAGAAGTGAAACTTTTGCCTTTTAATCACTCCTATTAAACTTCATATTTTGATTTACGAATGAAATTAGTGGTGATAGAAATATTTTATTGTAACCAATCGTTAAAGTAAATACCTCCAAATGATATAGTTTGACCATGCAAAATTTCCAATGAGACTCTTACACTCTTACAGAGTAGTCTCGATTAAGTTCTGATCTGATCTAATTGTAGTGATATTTAGAGCTGTTTCTGATCCGTTTTGGTTCCAATAAAAATAAGTAATAAGTAATAAGAATAAGTTGAAGAGAACAAGCTCTTAGTTGTGAATATATCATTGCAAAATTAATGTTGCTGCCCGGCATTATTCATCAACTCTGACAGTGCCTGATATTTCACTGTGGGTCACGTCTTTTGACAATTTTCTAATCTTTCCATTTACTTCATGTTTTAGGAAGAAGATGTTGATGTAATTGTGCATCACTTATATGGTGTTATTGAATCCTTCAAGAGGTATTGTATGTTGTGCAAATTTCCATCTAAAGTAGCTTGATTGTCAATTGTCATGAAAGTTAATGTTGTCCCACTTACATTTTCCTTTTATTTTAATTAGAAAGCCAAATAATATCATGTATTCCAAGAATTTGGTGTTTCCCATATTAGCTGCAGTTTGATCTATGTGTTTACACTGCAGAAACAAGGAGACCCATATTCAAAGGACCCCGGAAGCAAATCAGCAAGAATTCAAAGTTTTGGTGTCTGAAGCAGCGATGCCTTTCCTGATGGGTAGAACAGATCGTTTTGTCGATGAGCTGGAACTGTTTCTAGCCTCGGAGTTGACAATCGGTGCATTCGACCAAGTTTATGTCCAGCATTTGGGCTGGCAACATCTTGGAATCACTGAAGATGCAGAGGTAAGAGAAGTTGAAAGTTACTCAACTCCAAACTTGTTTTTCTTTGATGTGGACTGTGATGAAAATGGATAAACTTACAAAAAAAAATTTACTCCCTCCGTCCCAAAAAGATTACCAGAATTTGATTTTTTTTGGTCAACTGTGTAACACTTAAGTGTGAATCTAGAACAGCAACAACAAAATAGTGTACATTCCTAGCTCTGCATGGGTTTGTAGGGGCATGATGTATGTTGCATTTCCCCAGTAAAAAAATAAAAGGGTGTTTCTATTAGATTCTTGATGCATTGTTGCATTTATTTGTAGAAACTTCATAGAACATTAGATGCAAATAGAAGTTCAATGCGTCGTTATAAAATATTGTCAATAATGACTCTTAAACCATTGCTGATGGATATATGTAAAGTTAACGTGTATTACTAATGGATCTATGCATAAGTAATCTGTCATTATGCCCTTAAAGTGTAGTAATGAACTTAACATTTGTCTTACTCTTGAGTGTAGAGAAAAAATAGGGATATAATGGTACATTCATAAAAGTTTTTTTCCGAAATAAGAAATGAGAAAGAAATTTTTGGGCAACCCAAAAAGAAAAGTGAAAAAAAATTTAATGGAAATCAATGGACGGAGGGAGTATATAAAAAAGCAGATGCTATTTAGAATTCCAATTCAGTGTATTATTATAAGTGATCTCCTGAGTGGAACTCCCCTTATTTTCTACACATAATCACCACAAAGGGTTATTTACCATCACATATTATATTTTTGACACTCAGAAAGGACCCCCCCTTTTTTTTCAGCACGCCACACTAACACAGACCGACACACATAAATACATAGACACAATATATATATATATATATATATATATATATATATATATATATATATATATAGCAACACAAGAACTCCCTTTTGCTTTCTTTAGCCATTAACAACCGTTCCCCCTGCAAAGAAGCCAAAAAACCAACACCAAATAAGCTCACAATAATATGCAGATCAGAACACATACTATACATCACATAGATAGATAGATGAGTATGAACAGATTATTACCATTGGGATGGAGGACTTGGCCGGTCATGTAGGACGATTCGGGGCTAGACGCGAGGAAAACGTAGGAAGGGGCGACCTCTATGGGGTGGCCCGCCCTCTGCATGGGCACCTCCTTCCCAAACTCCACGCACTCTTCTTCGGTGAATGAGGCCGGGATGAGCGGAGTCCAAATGGGCCCCGGGGCGACCGCGTTCACCTGTATCCCCTTGCTCACCAGCTGCAGCGCAAGCCCCCTGGTGAACGCCACAATTGCCCCCTTCGTCGAGCAATAGTCTATCAGCTTTGGACTCCCCTTGTACGCTGTCACTGAGGTTGTGTTGATTATTGCACTCCCTTCCTTCATGTGCTCCAATGCATGTCTGAAATTACAATAATTTTTTCCATACATATATAGCTTTGTTATGTATGTATATATATATGTATGTAGGGGTCGGTTCACGTGAGAATGCACATTGGTGAAAAAAATAAGAATAAAATCTAGCCTTTTGGATCTGATGTATCGTGCGGCTCAGATTGCATCCTGCGCTCAGATTTTGAGATAGTGCATTTTCAAAGAATTTTGGTGTATTTCAACATGACGCATTTTCAAACCATTTTGGTGCACCTAATTTTGATACAATCTTGAACCTTAGATCTCACAATCTAAAGCACCAAATTCATTCTTTTTTCTTTCATAAGATCGCATTCTCACTAGAACCAAAATCTATGTATGTATGTATATATATGTGTGTGTGTGTGTATGCATTCGCTTACTTGGCGAGAAAGATTTGGGAGAAAATATTAGTCCGAAAAACGCGCAAAAGCCGAGGCTCATCGATCTCCTCGATCGACCCCTCGTATTGCTCTCCTGCATTGTTGACAAGAACGTCAATCCTCCCGTACGCATTCACCACGGACTCGATGACCTTCTTGCAGTTCTCCTCGAACCCCAAGTCGGTCGGTATGGCCATCGGGTCGCTCGCGCCGTCGCACTTGGCTTGCTTTATGATCTCGAGGGTGTCCCTTGCGTCCTTGTCCTCTTGCGGCTTCACGTAGGTGAATGCCACCGTGGCCCCCTCTAAGGCAAAGAGGTGGCAAACCGCTCGCCCGATGCCGGAATCTCCTCCGGTCACCAATGCTATCTTACCCTGCAACAACGCTAGAAGGCTAATAAAATGGAATGATAGTAACGATTTTGCCTAGATTGTCTTTAAAAAAAGGGGGCCTAGGGGAGGTGCATGGTGTAATAAAATTTTGGCACAATTTCTATTCATTTTGAATTTAAATAGTACAGTACATTTTTTCCTCCAAAACTTATAAATGTACATACTGCCTTTCATTCCACATGTACTAAACACACAAAAATTGAGTTGAAGTTAAGTTAGGTTGAATCAAATTAGTCCTCTCAACTAAGAAATATGTAAATCAAATTAATCATTTGAATGAAGTTTTATCATTCTTGACACCAAAGCAATCATGACCCGTTGTATTAATTTTCGTGTCAACGTGATAACTTAAAATTTTAGGAAATAAATTTCCTCACATTCGGCCGAACTTAATTTCACGGAGCATAATTAGTTGACTCGAGTGCAATTACAAAAATTAAAACAAGTATTAACTCAGACGAAATGAAATTTATAGTGGAGAGAAGATATTTGAAGCCAAATCGTGATTTTATCAGGGCAATTGCTAGGGATACACCAACATGAGTACCTCATTTATACACCAAATCAACAGAGACACAAAATATTTATCTTTGTGCAGCACAGAATATCTGTGAGTGACGTATTGGCTTGGTGTACAAATGAAGTAATCATGTTGGTGTACCCCTGGGTTAATTATTTCTTTATATATATACCCCGTATAAAAAAGAGGAATATAAAATCTACCCCATTTTTAATAAGGTAAAAAGCATAAATTCAAGGATATAATCCGGGAAATATATACGGAGTATAATTATTATATACTTGAAGGCGGTTGGAAGGCTTATAATGGTGAGAAGAAAAGCTAGGAGTGGGGTCCATGATGTGCTCTTTCCCGGGTTGAGAGTTCTGCTTTTGTGGAGGGAATTGGTTGCCGTCGGAAGCCATGGCGATCGATCGATCCACCCACCGTTAAGTACTCTACGGCGGCGAGACTCTGGCAATAATGCAATGTATATCTGATTAATTAAGGGTTGGATAAGCGACTGTGACGGAGAAAGGCGAACACATAATACGGAGTATATGTATGCATGTACGTGAAGCGGCGAGAAGTACGTGGCAGGAGGAGGAGGAAGAAGCATTTATAGATACGTGTGGCCTGAGTGAGGCCACTATGTCCACGTACGTCTATCTCTATCATTATATATTCATTCACCATCAAACAAATTGATCCGAGCAATGCTGGGGTGTACCCCATTTGTCCCCCACCTTCTTTTACACCACACATATGTATTTGATTTTTAATTATTTATTTATTTTTAAATTTTTTGTCCATTTATGTGGTGGAGGAGGGGGTGGGGGACAAATGGGGTACACCTTAAGGTGTACCCCTAACATTTTTCAATTGATCCTAGTTAGTGATGCCCATTCGGTCAACCTATATCTTTGTCTATAAGTAGTAGGTCTCTTAGCTTATTCGTGTATAATGCATATATTATACACCCGTATATATAATACGCTTATTATATTCATCGAGTACAAATTTTTCATGTGACAAATACTACCTCCGTCCCAGAGTATTTGTTTACTTTCATTTTTACACACCATCCAATACACTTCTTTAATCCATTTTATCTTGTAATTTGTATACCAAAAAAATTATAGAAATTATATATTAATAATCCATATGTTAAAACAAATCAAACAAGATCACACATGACTATATTTAAGCTTACACATTGAGAAAATTTGATGAGTCAAAGTGCTTAAATGAACAGTTCCAAAAGTCAAAACTGGACGAATACTTCGGGACGGAGGGAGTATATAATATGTGTATTTAGACCCAAAATGTATTTACAAATTTGATATGTATTAAATCGTAAAAGTCTTCTATCGACTCCATCAATAAAAATTTAGAAGGTCAAATTCGGACCGGGTCAATTCACTTGATTATCTTCCTCCGAGATGTACAAATCTTTAAAATTTGGCAACCCAGCAATTGTAAAAGTATCAGAAGTCATATCATATATAGTTCGAGTCATACATCCACCATCGTCCTTTTTTTAACATAAATCCTCCTTCAATATAATCAAAAACCAATCAAAAGTTCAAACAAACAGGAACACTGCACAAAACTATTGTCCTTTGCTATTCTTATACATCAAAAAACTATTAATAGTGAAAAAATTGTTGTCTTCAACCTGTTTAGGAGCCGCATTTTTTCCTTTTTCAACTCTGTTCCGAGCCCTCCATATCATATAAAGTGCAATAGCCCAGATTGCTACCACCTTCATGCTTCCCCTTTTATCACCCTGCATATGCTTTCTTCCCATTTGTATCAGGGTATGTCTAGATATTTTGATTCCAAACCTGGTTTCAATAGCACATTATATCCTCTTCGCAAACAGGCAGAGGCAAAACAGGTGGTCTATCATTTCTGCATCCATATCACACATCCTACAAGTAGTTTGAATATTCTTCCAAACTTGGATTCTGTCGTTAGTAAGTAGTCTATTTTGCATAGCTAGCCAAAGAATGAAATTGGCCTTAGGTGGGGTAAATTTGTTCCGCACCCACTTAGACCATTCCACCTCCTGAGATTCCTTCCTTTGCCAATCATAGCCTTCTTTAATCCTATACTCTCCGGCAAGTGACATGTTTTTAAAAAATCATGTACCTTAATCATTTGCTTCCAGTAGTGACATACATCTTCCTTTGGTGTGTTAATTAAATATCATTCACGTTCTATCGGTCTCTTCGACTCCGTCCGACTGAGAGTCTAACTGAAGAATGAATAATTTCGATGATCAATTACGGAGGACTAAGCCTCGTATAAATAGTACAAGGGAATCCTAACTACGGAAGGAATCTTATACAAGGCAACTACCATATTAACAATGATTACAACATTAATATTAAATATATATATATATATATATTATATTTAACATGCGCCCAACTACGTGACTGGTGACGGTCGAACGCCAAGACTGTGTCTAAACTCGGAAAATATAAGAGACGGGAGCCCTTTGGTGAAAATATCAGCATACTGAGAAGAGGAGGGAACATGCAGAACTCGAACATGACCAAGGGCAACTTTGTCTCTGACAAAGTGAATATCAACCTCAACATGTTTGGTGCGCTGATGCTGGACGGGATTAGACGAAAGGTACACAGCACTAACATTGTCACAAAACACAAGTGTAGCATGTCGGAGAGGTTGACGAAGCTCAAGGAGAAGATTTCTGACCCAGCTAGTCTCTGCTACTGCATTTGCCACGGCGCGGTATTCTGCCTCAGCACTAGAGCGAGAGGTGGTGGCCTGTCTCTTGGAGGACCAGGAGATGAGATTGTCCCCAAGGAAAACACAATACCCAGATGTGGAGCGGCGAGTGTCAGGGCATCCTGCCCAATCAGCATCTGAATATGCCTGTAAGGAATCTGTGCCAGTGCGGTGGAGAGTGATGCCATGGGTGGCCGTGCCGTGAATGTAGCGTAGGACCCTCTTCATAGCCGTGCGATGAGAGCTGCGGGGGGCATGGAGATGAAGACAGAGCTGCTGTACGACATATGTGAGATCGGGGCGGGTGAATGTCAGATACTGTAATGCGCCGACAATGGATCTGTAGATGGTGGGATCCGGAAGGGGTGTACCGGAGGTGGCTGACAGCTTCGCCTTGGTGTCAACCGGTGTGGAGATAGGCTTACAGTGAAGCATGTCAGCCCGCTCAAGGATCTCGTGTGCAAACTGTGTCTGATGAAGGAAAAGTCCCCCAGCCGTGTGCTGGACATTAATACCCAGGAAGAAATTGAGATCCCCCATATCTGTCATGGCAAATTCTCCTTTAAGCTTCTGCGTCAGGCATGTGAGGAGAGCGGTGGAGGAGGTTGTGAGAATAATGTCATCCACATACAGAAGAAGGTAGGCCATGTCAGCTCCCCGGGAGTAGACAAAGAGGGATGTGTCGCTCTTGCAGCCACGGAACCCCAAGGTGAGAAGAAAACCTACAAAGCGCTGGTACCAAGGGCGGGGGGCTTGCTTGAGGCCGTATAGTGCCTTCTTCAACCTGCAGACATAATTCGGCCGGGCTGGATCCTGAAAACCAGAGGGCTGACTGGCATAGACTGTCTCGTGAAGTGTGCCATTCAGGAAAGCGTTCTTGACATCTAGCTGATGAATGGACCATCCCCGGCTAAGTGCAAGAGTGAGAACAACACGCACCGTGGCAGGTTTGACAACCGGACTGAAAGTCTCGTCGTAGTCGATACCAAAGCGCTGATTAAATCCATGAACCACCCAACGAGCTTTGTACCTGGACAGTTCACCTGTAGGGCCATATTTGTGGCGAAAAATCCACTTACCGGTGATAATATTTTGGGAAGGGGAGGGGGGTACTAATTCTCATGTTTCATTTTTAATCAAAGCATTAAATTCATCACACATAGCATTGTACCAATTTTGGTCCTTGAGTGCACTACGGTAGGTGGGTGGGAGTGGGGATATTTGGGCCATGGAGTTAAGCTTAAGGATGTGTTTGGGTTTGGATATGCCGACTTTGGACCGGGTTACCATGGGGTGGGTAGTGGGCTGGCTGGGCCATGGGAGGGGAGGGTTATTTGGGTCGGCAGTG